CACAGCCTTGGAAACGTCATGGAAACAAGCAGCTCTGATGCCTCTTTTTCAGGTGAAATCGCAAAATATAGTGCTAAAGAAACTGAAGAGCAGATGTGGTTTAATTCCAAGTTTCTAATGCTTTACCTAGGATGACAGAAAGCAAAGGCCATGCATGTTTGGGTTTTTTCCAAGCCAGTGGATCTGATTGTCCTCCTCGCGGGAGGGATTTTTTCTTCTCTGAGAAGAAAGCTGAAACTGAAAGGGTAATTTTGAGTACTTCCTATAATCCATTCTCAGAGACCAAAATACCCAGCATTAACTAAGCACCATAACGGCCTTCTGAGGTGGGGAAGTAGCAATGTCCCTCTTCTTAAAAAAATGGGGAACTTGACCAAATACTAGCGGAAGTCGGATGGAAGGACAGTGTCTGCTTCAGGTTGTCTTGATAGAAAATCCTCTCCCTTGCTTCCTCTGCAGCCTCTTGGACAGCGAGAAAGCTGGGCTAGACTGAAGCACCCAATGGGTCCTGCCAGGTTTAGATGCCAGGCTTGGAGGAGCCACCAGCTCAATGACAAGGCCATGTAATATCTTCTTTGCAGCCAGCCAAACCCTGTTTTCTTTGCCCCTCAGAGTTTTAGCTGCAGCGGTGAAGTAAGTGTAGATTTGACAGTTCCTCATTTTACCTTGGAAGCTACGTAATACCCATTTGGGTTGTGTGATTTCAGGCTATATTACATGCCATTTGTTGGTTAACTTTGTCACAACTGCTTGGTGGTTCTTCTGCAAGCATCACGGGTTTGTGCCAGAACTATGTTGGGAGAGGAATCAAACATGTTGGTGACACGATGCTGCATGGTCCAACACCAGCAGTTGGCAAGCGTTGTAGGGCTAGCAGCCGTCTTGCTTGAATGTAAGCAGAAGAGCTGTCATGAGGGTTTGAATTTGGCCAGGTATCTCTAAATACGAAGCTGTTGCTGAGACAGTGCAGCCCACAGGGATGAGGAAGAGATGGTGTAGTTCTCCAATGCTGATGCCCCCTCCAGTGTGAGATCTGTTCCCTGTTCAGCCTCCTGCAGTTTTGTTTCTCGACACCTTCTCTGGCTGTTTTCACAGTCCTTTAGATCAGGCTGCGGAGGCCACATCTTGCTGGTGTAGTGTTTGCCTGGGGAACCCGGGTGGGTTCACATGGGGTTCAGGTCCGGTTCATGGTGTTTTGTACTGATTGGTGTCGACAGGGGTGCAGGCAGCAGGTTTGGGCAGAGGAACTGAGGATGCAGCCCTGAAGGAAGGAAGAAAGAAAGAAAAATAAAAGAAGCAAGGAAAGGATTTATGGAAATCTGTACCAAAGTACAGTGAAAGTAGCAGCTGGCATTTTCAGAACAGCCAGGAGCATTTTTGCACAGGAGATGGGTCTGGGAAGAACTGGCATGTGACATATGGAAAGGAGTAACACATGTGTTGGGGTTTTTAAATTCTTCTTTGTAGTGGAATTTGGATGATATGTTTTGCCACAAAAAGTTGGAAGGAGAAGATTAAAAGGATGAAATGTCCCTATGTAAGAGTGCAGGAAAAGCTCGGTTTCCAGCCTGACTTTGACACTGACTCACATTCTTGTCCTGTGCAGCTCACCAAACCTCTCTGGGCTTCCCTCACTTTATACATAACTGTTATGATGCCCGTCTGCCAGGGGTAAGCATTAGGTTGACTTCACAGATTTGCAGTTATTTGAGATCCTCTTTGGGGAAATTCTTCATCCCGTAAGTGTTAGGAAAAATCACAAAAACTCTGTTGTGAAGGGGAATGACTTTAATAAGGAATGCCTGTAGCATCCTTTGCCATTCAGATGTTTGTAACGAAACACTCAAGATGAATGAATGGATGAGACCCACAGCCAGGAGATGTCCCTGTCCTCCATGCGTTGTCTCTCCTCTCTCATCTGACACCGATGTCCTCTCCTCTAAACCCAGCTCTGTCCAGCACCCTTTGAGATGTTAGTGTTCCCCAAATGTCAGGCACAGAGAAGCAGTGGAGAGGCTCTGAAGCTGTCGCTGCCATTCAGTGGAGTGAATAGAAATGGCTTTTGAAGTACTCTCCTGGTGCTCCGACTAGCTTGGCATTAGAAATCAGCACCCTTTGGGAAACAGAAACTGCCTGCCCTTGGTTTCTAAACCGCACACTTTGAGAGCAAGCTGCTTAGTGTTTCGCCATTCAACAGAGCAACCGGCAAATGCCAGCCGTCAGAGCCCCAGCAGCATCTCTGCCTCATGTTAAGCAAATCTTGCATTTTATAAGTGTATCAGCCAAGCATCACCTCCTGCCTGTCTGTCTCCTGTCAGAGAGATATTATTCCTATTCAGCTCCGATGTGTACGGCCCGCTATAGGTTATGTAACATTTCTGCTGATACGAGCCCGGCAGGTAGCAGTGTCTGACACTGAATCAGTCGGAGCCTCTGTTCCCTGGCAATTAATTCCTGCATTGGCAGTGATATGAGTGCATCAGCCTGGGTCTTTCCTGTGCTGCTGTGGGATGTGACTGCCCTTGGTTGGGTTTTGGTGGCTTTCTTGGCTGCTTCCCCTTGTTCAGACTTTGGATAAGCCCGCTCCCTGTGGATTCTTCTCTTTCTGATGCTGTCCAATGGGTTAGCTGTGCTTTTTTTTGGTAGAGAAAGACCATAGCAAGCCCACATTTGGATCAGAGAAGGAGCTTCAGACCTGTAATACCCTTGATACATCTGGTATCGGCCCTCTAGATGTACATGGATACAGCTGACAGTGCACATGAGTGACGATGCTCTGCATGGGGTGGCGCACTTGTCCTGTATTGGAGGGATGGGGAAGGCTCGGAGGGGGGGAAGTACTAGGTGGGCATTGGTGTGGCATCACCGGCTGGCCATGGCTGTGGGATAACGGAGGGTTTGGGCTGTCCCTCCTGCATCTCTGGACAGTGACATGGGCTTGGTTGCTGCTGGGTCTGCCTAGCCATGGGGGATGGGAGGCTGGTGGGGGACAGTAGGTTGGTGGGAGTGCAGGCAGCAGGGGCGGTGGGATCTCACGGCAGGAAGAGGTGCACACTCTGCTTGCACTGGCTCTCTCTTGTGAGAGAGCTGTAAATAACACATAAGAGGGGATCCCTGCAGGCTCCAACATGTAAACCCTTGTGCCAGTTCCTCGGTGGTAGTACACACCCATTCGAGGGGGACAGGATGAGGCTCTGTGTTTTAAAATACAGTCCTGCTGCAGCAAATGCCCCGGATAGAATAAAGAAACAAAGGAAAGCCTGCTGACAGCTCTAAATATTTCCACCACTTCCATCTGCATGAAGTTATCATCCCGTTTGCTGCCCCACATGCCAGCCATCGGATGCGCCGGGGGGGATTTACGATGCTCTCTGTGGTTTGCACTGAGCATTAGCAACAGCGCGGGCTTTGCAGTCACACTCATCTGTGGCAGACGTCGAGGGCTTTGCCTGGCATTCAGTAAAGGTCTCTGTGAGGATCTGGAGAAAGTATTTGACTTAAAGTTTTGTAGGTCCCGACAGACAAAACTGGTATTCCGGCTACCAGCAAAGGCATATTTAGCTACATGGGCACTTTCCCTTTGGTTAGCATCTTTAGCTGTTGTTGATATCACTCTTCCTGTCTTTTCTGATCATTATATGTGTGCCTGTGTGTGGTTTTTTTTTTCTTGTTATAGGTTTTTATGGTATGGAAATGTTTTATATCGCTTGTACCTGTAGAGTCAGTGTCAAGGAGATGGTTGAATGATTTTTCTGCATCTTTCATCTGTGGTTTAAATCAATCCTATATCAGGATGAACAAGTGAGAAGCAGGTTGGATGAGGGATTTCTGCACACCGCTGCTTTGTAGCAGGCAGGTGAAGGAGAGGCTGTCTGCTGATTGCAGAGCCACTTCACATAATAAAAGAAGTGTCGTTACTTAGCTGAAAGTTGGTATAAAACAGAGAATTTTTAACTTTAAAATCCTAGCTCATGAGAGCCCAGGAACAAAAAACAAGTGTGAAGCTGAGAGAGAAAGGGAACACTTTTTCAGTGCAATTTTTGTATAATTATATCTTAAATAAATGGAAGACGACCATCACACTGCTCTGGTCATATTCACAAAACTTACATTGAACAGTTCTTGGGGTTTCTTTGTTTTGAAGCATTTAAAATTAGAGCATCAATTAAACTTACTGTGAAATAAGTTGCATGTTGTGGCTGCTGCAGGAGGTGCTGGCAGTGATCACCTCTAATTGCTTTTCTGATTTGAGGAGTTAAGATTTTTAGATTTGTTTTTTCTCTTTCTGGCTCATTTGAGTTTTAAATAAAGCACGTATATTTTGAGTAGTGTTCTTCCTGAGCAGCACATCCGCCAATGGGGCTGATATCCAGGGGGAGAGAAGAGGCATGGGATGGGCAGCTGGGCTCTCCCTGGGGAGAGGATGCTGGGCCTGCCTCAGGGACTTTCTGAACCCTGAAATCAGTGCAAAGAATTGCAACCATTTCTCCCTTTTTCCATGTGAAAAATATGTTTGTGGCTTACTGTGATATAGCCATCCACCCTGAACAGCTTTCCCTGCATGCACACACCTTGTTTTTAATTATTTGGCGACATCAACGCAGGAGGACAGATCTTGCCTGCCTTTCCCTTGCTCCAAAAGTGCTGCCGATGTGAGTTGAGCAGCATCTGTGGTGCTGGGAGTCGTGGCAGGGAGACAGCCTTGCTCCTCGAGTCTTCACCTGTATTGCAGCACAGGATGCACGGGGAAAATCTGCTTTTGCCCATCGTGGTGGCACAACAGGGACATCTGAAGCACAAGCTGTTGGAAAAGAGCAAGAATGGAGTGAGAAGGGCAAATCTGAAGAAGAAAACTTGTTTCATTCCTATCTTGAGCAATCCAGCCACACATCTGGTCTGCTTGGTTTTGAAGTTGAAGCTCTTCTCCTTTTCTTTACCCTATCTCTTTTTAAAAATACAGCGTTTTATCCCTGGGTCTCAGCAATTGCTTTCTGCTGCAGGGTACCGAGAAGGATTTCTGTGGAAGAGAGGACGTGATAACGGGCAATTCTTAAGCCGAAAATTCGTGTTATCAGAGAGGGAAGGTGCGCTGAAGTACTTCAACAAAAATGACGTGAGTACCTGGGATTGCTGTATGTGGACAGGGGATTGCAGCTGTAAGAGCACCTTTAAACTAGTAATCCCTAGCCCACTGTTTTATGTATAGTGTTACAGTTTTTGTAAGCATTGGGTTCCTGATCGCTCCAGGACTCAGTCCACCACCACTGTCATGGTGAGACACCTGAGCTGGCCGTTGTATGCATTCATGTTCTGTTGAGCCAGTAAGACTTTTCCTAAACTGCCAACGAAGGAGTTTTTCTCAGCTCTGGCTCTGTATCATCCATCTGACAGAGATTTCATATTTGTGGCTGGCTTGTGATGAAGGTATCACCATCTCATGATAGTCAGTGGGGTCTGAAACCTCCTCTACATGGCATGGCCAGCAATCCAGAGGAAAAGCTCCCTGATTTTCTGTTCCAGTGCCAAGCAGTGGAAGCATTTGTCTTTTTCCTCAGAGCACATTTCATTTATTGTAAGTGGGAAATGGAGCTAATACCATGAAAATTGCATATGTGATGAATGGATAGACACTGCTGTTCTGCACCACGCAATGGAGGAAGCCAAGGTGTTTTCTTTGGCCTTTGAGTCTCCCCTGAACGTTGCAGCTGAGGACAGCCCAGGCCGAGCCACCAGCCAGTTTTCTCAAGTACTTGATGCAGTCGTGGTGTCACGATGAGCCATGCCGTGCAGAGGAGGTGAACGTCCATCCACACTTCTGCATACCCAGCAGCCAGCTGCGATAGCACCGTCTTCTTCTTCAGCTTGGTGTGGTGTGGTGCAATTGCATCTCGTGGATGGGAGAGCACCAGTCATTACCGAGGGAGAAGTGAAAGTCCCAGCAGCCCCATTCAGTCACTGTTGACTGCTCTGGTAGCTTGAAGCATCTTTGCTTTGTTATCAACCGTAGCTGTGGTTGGAACGGTGCTGTCTAGACATGTCCTCTTTGCTGGGATTTCCCCCATGGCCACCCATGGCGGCTGTGTGCCCATGGCAAGTCCCCAAGTCCCCAAAAGCAGCACTAGCATCTCTGCCAGTTCAGGGACTTCCACGTGGTGCTGGGCACCACGGCACTGCTACGTGACCTGCTGCTGGCCCCTGACTGTGCCCCAAAACTGCTGTTACCAAGAGCCTAATCTCTGTGTTTTGGGATGTTTTGTTCACACTTGCTGGTTCACTTCTCAGTGCAGTCCTGAAAGGGTGGTAAACTCCTAGAGATGTTTTGTAGGAAGACAAACTGTGCTACAAAGTCCAAGTGACCTGCCACAGAGGATGCAGGTGGGATTGGTGCCTGGGAGGGCCTGATCCAGGCTCATCATTGGGCTGACCCACCCAAGAAATGGGCTGTAAGTTGTATATTTGCCCCCAATTTGTGTATTCTGTCTGACAGTGTTTTTCTTTCTTCTATGACAGCACTCCTCCCAGTATAAATGCTGGTCATTTGTCCTTAGGTGAAGAGGCTGGAGGAGATCTAGGGGTCAGGAGACAGCTGAACAGAGGCTGAGACAGGAGGCACGGTGAAGATGCTTGTCTTTATAGTATAGCATGCCCTTGTGAGACTTGGCCTGTCCATTGCTTTGGGGCTGAAACCTTTCTCCCCTTAAACTCTACTGAATTTTGCAGAAGAACAGAGTTTTTTTCCAGGCTGACAGAAAACAGTCATTGATGCCTGAGCAAAGTCTCTGATATATCATCACCAGGCAGTTTTGTGGGCTGGGAGTCAGTTTTTTAGCTAATGGCCTCAATCAGGAGTATTTTTCTGACCAAGTGAACTGCTTTCTGGTTTGAAAGCCAATTCTCGAGTGTTTGCTCACTCAGCTGTGTTTTCCAGGCAAAAGAACCCAAAGCAATTATGAAGATCGAACATCTAAACGCGACTTTCCAGCCTGCAAAAATTGGGAACCCACACGGACTGCAGATCACTTACTTGAAGGACAATAGCACAAGGAACATCTTTGTCTACCACGAAGATGGCAAGGTGAGGGGGCAGAGGTAACAAGAAGGTTTGGGTTGTGGTCCTGGGTTTGTTGCTGCTCTGAGGCAGCCTGTGGCACTCCAGGCTCTGACTGAGCCGGGCATCACTGTGGGGTGTGGAAGGAATGGGGGTACAGGATGCACAACCAGCTTTGAGCATGTTTGTCGTGTCTTTCCAAGCACGGAGGTTGCAAACTGCATCTTCTAAATAATGAGATGCAAATGGAAGGAGTTGCTGTTCCTCTGCTTGCAACGAGACCTAGAGGCAGGGACATTTTTTAAGGGAGGCTCTTTGGTGCCCAGAGAGGGAGATGGGGTGAATGGAACAACGAAAGGTGAGGGGACTTGATTTAAGGACATGCGAAAGGGGAGCAAACTGGATTGTAGGAGGACTGGGGAACTGGTTGTTTCTCTGCCTTTGTACTTAATAAAATTGAAATCTGCATGTTTGTATTGAAATAAATCCCCTTTGGTGATCTCATGCCTCTGAAAGGAGGTGTGAAGAAGGAGTCTTGCGGGTCTGGGGTGGTTGTTTCCACAAGGACAGCGGGACACGGAGACCAGGGTAGTGAGTGGGTCCCAGCCCTCCTGGAGGGCGTCAGGGGGGTCCCAGCCTTGGGGCTACTGTGAAGAACAGCGACAGCCACCACGCTGCCCCAGGGGTCTTGTCTCCACGGACCGGTGTCCATGCAGAGAGCAGGCCAGGGGAAGTTTGCAGTGTGTGTCATCTCACTGCCTTGTTTTAATATGTTTCGTCCTTTCTTCCCTCCCCCAAATACTTGAGGCTCGCCATAGAATACCAGCAACCCTGGAGGGCCCATGAAATCAGAGCCTAAAGGTGTCATGTTCACATTGTGTCTGCTTTCCTCTGACCATCACAGTGCCTTCATCCTTTGGTGTTACAACCCGCTCAGCACCCTGTCTGTCAGAGAGGCTTTCTGGGGGCCATCCCTCATGGACCAGCACAGCAGGGATTTGTGGGTTAGCAGTCACTCCTTGCCAGACAGTTTAGGCCAATAATGCCACCAAAACCCAAGATATTCTTAACTTGTGGATGAGCAAAGCCGATTTTGCCTCTGCTACTGATCAGGCTCCGGGTGCAGTGGAGCAGGGTGGTGCTGTCATCCTTGCAGGGCTGCGCTGTGGAGGCTGGATGCAGTTCCTGTGCAGTACAGGTGCTTCTGGTGGGAACTAATTAGTGTGTCTGGGTTGGGTTAATTAGTGGCATTACCTGGTTTTGTACATGCACAGAGATGTGCGTGTAATACGCATTCACACACATCCATATGTGCATATAATGGGCATGCATAATAGATGATCAGCCTGCCTGGCCCCTCACACCCTGCAGCACCATGGGATCTTGCTCCATGGATTTTGAGCATCCTGGGGAGCTGCTCTGACAGAGCTGCTCCTGAATTTACCTTCTCCATGTGCTTTACCTGGTGGAATATGCAAGTCCCATGGCACAGAGGAGGCACTGCTTGTCACTAGGTGCTGCTTTAGCACAGCAAAGTGTTGCTGGGTTGCTCTCAGGTACCTCTCTGGCCACAGTTTAAACTGAAATAAGAGGAAGAAGCTCTTTCCTGTGAAAGCTGCATCACACTGTCATGCCTGCATTTGTTGTTTGCTGGACTTTGGTGGTCCATTTGGTTTAAAATGCTGGGTTTTCTGGGGGCTCGTGGAAGGAGCAGTCTCGCAAGTCTCACACAGTTCCTCCTGCCTTCATGTCGGTGGTTTGGCAGGACGTGCTCTGATGCCATCTGATAATGCCCAGGTTGAATTTCTTTCCACTTCCCTGAAATTGTTCTGCCACTTCGACTGAGCGAGCGCTGCAGAAAATCGCACACCCTGGTGTGAGCTCCCACCCTTTGGGACTAGAGGCAGCCCCAAACTTGCCTGCGGTCCTCTGCTGCCCTTTGCTCCCTCCCATACCCGCCCCCAGCAGCCCCAGGGCATCCCCTTGTACCCAGAGATGCCGCCTCTCCCCAGTCTGAATCGCTTGACCCTGATTTAGGCTCCTGTCTTGTATTTCTGGGGTTTGATCCCTCTCTGTCTAATCCTGTTGCCAATCTGGCTGGATTTGGGTTTTTTTTTCCCTCTGAGGAGTTCGGCAGTGATCCAGAGCATCACATGCTGTTTTCCGCATGGCTGTGCTGCTGCAATACCCCTGAAGAAAGCAGGCTCATCTCTCAGATGGGATAATCCAGCATGGGCTTATTCGACCCCTAGAAAAGCTGGGAGAGCCCTGCTGCCCTGGTGAGTTTTGAGTGGAGTAAGACACCCAAAGGGATAAAGGACAGACAGACACAGTGGTCACCCTGCTGCTGCCCCAGAGCTTCACAGAACGGGACAGCAGATCTCCAGATCTCCATCTGTGGTGGGAGGCAGAAAAACTGCAGGAGTGGATTTCCCACCGCTCTGAGCTCCTGTCCGGGGCTGAAGCTCCCTCTGCAGGACTTCTGGAAGCCTCAGCAGGAGCAGCTCAGAAAGCCGCGGTTTCTGCTGCCATCCCTGGTGTTGCCATCACTCTTGGGATGCTTATAGGTGAGCTGAGTCTCCAGGAAAGGCCACCCTTTGCGGTGCAAACCAAAATCTTTAGGTTTTCTCTAGACAAATTAGCAAAATGCTCTTCCCCAGTGCTCCTCCTTTCCTCAGCCGCACCAGGAGCTTTCAGGATGGGGAGAGGACATTGATCAGCAGCAGAAGGGGCTGTAGCAGAGGGGCTCAGGGACTGATGATGAAGGGACTGGTGAGGAGGTATGGTGAGGTGAAGTCACATTTTAATCTGAAGTTGTCAGTCTGAGACTGCCAGGGCAATGTGGGTGGCTCTGATGGAGACTGGAGAGAGACCAAGGTGGCAGAGGGGAAGTGTGCGGTGGCACTGCAAGCAGACCAGGAGGAACCCCAGAGCCTGGAAAAGCCCCTTGCAAAGGTGCAGGCAGCAGCTGATTTCCTCTGCTTGCTCTGAGATACAAATCAGCGACAGGAATCTCTGCTAATGAGCTAATCAGACAGCACCTTCCCATCTGGAAACACTGAGCAGTTTAATGTTTTAATAGAGCAGATAGGATCTCCTCACTCTATTTGTGGCATTGTTTATAATTATACACAGAAAGTTTTTAGCAACTGAGCCTTCTGGCTCTGCATACACTAGTACAGGTTTGTATGCAGCAAGGTGGTGGTGCCCCTTCCTCCAGTAATGGGACATCAGTATTCTGGGAAGCAATAGACTGTTGGAAGTCAATGAGGGTTTCAGGCTCTGCTTTTCTGCAGGGTGAAACTGTGTCTTGCATCACAATCAAGGAGGAGACCTATATATATATACACACATATATATACATATAGCTATCTGGTTGGTGACTGTATGAAATATCAGTGTTTTAACATTACAGCTTATTTTCCATTACCTCCAGCCTGGTTTGGTCATCATTAACTTCGGGAGCCAGTTCCTCTGGCTGATCCTCTTTGTGCTGCTATCTGGGGTCTGCTTAGCTGCTTAGGGTAGGAACATGAGTGATCAGTAAGTAAAACCTCAGACAAGTAGGTCAGAGTTTTCCAAAACATTGTTTGTCTATGCCCTGTTAGGGTTTGTTATTGTTGTTTTTTTTTCCTTTCAACCTGAAGTAAATTAACAAGTCAAAGCAAAGCATTTGAACTTTTAGAGTGGCTATTTGCCACCTTAGACCATTTTTGAGATACCTCAAGTTCAACTCCTCCAAACTAAGATCTGCAAAATTACATGTAAGGGCCTTTTTCCACTCCCCAATAACTTTTAAAGCATAAAAACATTTAAATCTTTCTGAAAGCTGACTTCTACTTTGCTATGGTCTTTCACACAGAATCACAGATCATAGAATCACAGATCATAGAATCATAGTCTTTCCTATGCTATAGCAGCCTCACCTGAAAGCTTGGCAGGGTTTATTTTGGGATCGAGTCTGTCTCACTGAACCTGTCCCTGGTGTGTGGAGCTCCACGTGCATTAATGACAGCCCAATTGCTCAGCATCCTGGTGCGGGCAGCTGTTACACTTCCCTTCCAAAATGCCTTTCCTTTCCCATACCTGTAGACCTTGGGGCAGTTATTTGAGAGCCTCCTGTGTGGATCACTTGAAGTTAATTTGCCATCTCTCAGTGAAACCTTCAAAAAGGCAGCCAGTGCAGTACGGGCTCTGTGGGTCTCATCAGAGACAAATAAATAGATGAGTTTAGAAACAAGTACGTTATAAAACAACTACTTCAAAGGGAAAAAACCAAACCAAAACAAAATCACAAAACAAAACAGAGAGATTTCTGCCAAGGAAAGGTAGAAGTGCCAGAGCAGCTGGGAATTGAGCTGAGACTTCAATGTCACTGTCCTTGTCCCTGAAGGACTCGCGGATATGACTGATGGACTGGAGTACAAAGATAAACTGGTATTTGACCATTCTTTTAGCAAAACACTGAAATATGTTGCTAAGACCTCAAAATTTGGGTGAGATTCAGGCAATCCTTGCCCACAGTCAGCATTTTATTTTTTTTGAAGGACTGCTGCTAAAGTGCCCTCTGTCACTTGGGACAAAGTGATGGAAGAGATGAAAGGCAGTGGGATCACACTATTTTATGTGTGGGCTATGTTACTCACTTTGCTTTTCTTTCTTGTTATTAGGAAATAGTGGATTGGTTCAATGCCATCCGGGCAGCCCGGTTTCATTACTTACAAGTGGCATTCCCTGGAGCCAGCGACGTTGATGTGAGTTTTCCTGCTGTTGTTTGTTTTTTTTTGCTCATTTTTAGCTTCTTGTTACCAGGCTGGAAGTGCTCCATCCTTCAGAGGGTTTTACAGTTGCTGAGTTGAAATCCTCATGGGGGCTGCAGAGCCCACGTGCAGTAACCAGCATCCAGCTTTGGGCCCAGTGTGTGTGCGCGCACATGTGTTGACACTCAAAATGTGAGTCGTGCCTATGAGTAACCCCAATGCTGTCACATGCACAGCAGCCGTAAGCGTCTGTCTTAAAGATTTTTGCTATATTAAAAGCTGAAACAAAGGCTGGAAGGTAGGAATGATGAAGGCAAAAGAGCATCAGTGCTGTACGCAAGCCAGTGGGATGAGTTTTTGTGTGTAGGTCAATGCAGCCCATTTCATGAATCTCTGTCTTGTATTTTCCGGGAGCTGGAGCTGTTAATTGCATTATCTTTTGCTAATATAATCCCAAAGGCTGTATTAGTGCACGCTGACTGGAAGTGCCTTGTGTTGCAGTTGCGCTGCAGTTGGTGCATAACCTCCCTGGCTGTTGGTGGTGGTTACTCTCTGTTACCTCCTTGACTTTGTAGATTTTGAAATCTAATTGCATTACTTGCCTTCTGGTAATTACCTGGGAGGGGTCCAGTGGGGGTGCAGGGGTGGCTCTGTCGATGGCTGCCCATGCACCCCAAGGACCCCAGAGCCAAAACCTTCCCATCGGACTGACAGCAGCTGCCTCAAACCATCCCAGTCCCTGGGGAGAATGAGGGGAGGAGAAAGAGCGTTCCCATGGCTGGTGACCCCTGGCATGAGGGACTTCAGACCATTTTCTGATCAGAAGTTAAACTGGTAAAATATGAAGAAACCGTAAGAGCAGCCTCGTTAGCTGGCTGCAGTACAGTTGCTGTGCAGTCTATACTTTCTATAGTCACTTCTCTCCCTCTCCATATCCTCTGCTTCTGTTAAAGTTGGTTGGCACATCTGCATTGAATTGCCCCAATAAACCCCACAGACCTTAACAAAGTTGCCATTTGTCTGGCAGTTGGTGAGAGGGTTCATATGCTCACCCTGTGGCGGTTCTGGTGTGAGATAAGCTATAGTTTTACTTTTCATCCCCTTTTCATCAATGATGCTTTGGGGGAATCAGAGGAGTGTAATGTTTAGTGAGGTTTAATTTAACACCTTGAAATACTGAATGACCCTTCATGAAGTTGAGCGTGGGGAGGCCTCTGGGTCATGTATGGGTGGTAGCTCCATCCTGGATGTTGCCGTCATTCACATCTAATCTGTGATTCCTTTACCCTGTCGGAGAGATAGAAAAACGTTACATTTAAACAAGAGCCAGGTTAAATGCAGTAGAGAGTTGTAAATTGCTCGCACCACCCTAAGGTTGCCCAAGCTGCCTTTGCCAAGGGTGCTGAGCTCCTTGCTTAGCAAAGTGTCCCCAGTGCTGTCCCAGGAGCCAAACGCCGGGGCTGTGAACATTGAAGAGCCCTTTGCTGCCCATGTTGAAGTGTCCAAGATGAAGATGCTCCCGGCTGCTGTGGAGCAGCTGTGTTTCTTTGGGCTGTTGTATTTTGGGGTGTCTGTGCCCTACAAGCACACGTCTGCTCAACCAGAGCTGCTCTTGGGCAGTGTTAGGTGTTACAGGGGTGCGATTTGGCAAGTGAAGCTGTTAGTACCCTGTTTAAATGAAAGGCAGGACCAGTGTGTGGCCAGGCTCTTTGTCTCTGATTTTGATGATACTTGTCTTTTTTCAAGAGCATTTCAGAGGCATCTGTGAGGATCTTGCAGCTACTGCCTTGTCTTCGCTAAGCAGCGTTAAAAATATCCCTGGGGCTGCTAGCTGCTGTCAGCAATATCTGTGGAGGGGGCAGTGCACAGGCGGAGTGTGTGGATGGGGTTTTACTGGCAAATTACACCTTAGGGCTTGCGGGAGAGGCTCCTGCTGTGTCTGGTGGAGGGGGCATCTGCAGAGCTGTGTGGTGAGGTGGGATTTGGCCCGGGGGCGTCTCCTGGAGTCTGGTGGCTTTGCTGGTGCAAAGATGCTTCGTGTTTCTGCACCCACCTCCTCTGAGCGCTTTGAAGTGGGGCTGAAGCGTTGGGCCAGAGCTGTCAGGTGGGCTCAGGGCCAAGGCAAGCTTGGCGTGGGGTTTCCTGCAGTGACCCCCAGCCCTGCCCTGCATCCCCAGCGATGCCCCAGCTCCCTCTGACGCTACTCTCTCTTTTCTCTCTTTTGGTTACTCCAGCTGGTGCCAAAGCTTTCTAGAAACTACCTGAAGGAAGGGTACATGGAGAAAACGGGGCCAAAGGTAGGATACAAAATGCTTTTGCAGTCCCTCTAAATGTGAGTCTTGCTCTCTGCGGGGCTGAGAAGGGCCTGCTAGTAACATTAATGCTGTGAACGCCTTCATATGCTTTCTCTACCTGGAAGCAAATGTTAAAAACTCCTCACAAGACTCACCTCACAAACCAACCACCCCATCTCCCTGCCCATGCCTGCAAGCCCACCAGGTATAGCTTGCCTGGACCCTGCGGTGCCAGCTTGTGGTGGCCCAGAAGCTGCCTGCCCCCAACTGCCCCAACCCACTGGGTTCCTCCGAATGCCTTGATACTGCTGGGTCATGCCCAGTAAGCGGGGAGCTGTGCTGCTTTGGTGTGTAATCTGGTGGTTTTTGACTCTTCAGCAAACAGAGGGGTTCAAGAAGCGATGGTTCACCATGGATGACCGGCGGCTCATGTATTTCAAAGATCCCCTGGTAAGATGAAGGTGCCTGGGCTATCTGTTGGGAATTATCTTCAATAATAATAATAGTAGTAACAATAATAGCAATGATAATAGTAATAATAATCATCTGCAGGGAAGCTCAGGCTTGTGGGAGAGCCAAGAGGGCTCTGAGCTATCACTGCTAGATGGATCTGCATGGTGTCCAGTGTGCAGTAGCGCTGTGCGCAGATAATGGTGTTGGTCCTGTATTGTGGGGCCCCCTGCGAGGAGCTAGAGCTGATGGGGTTTTTGGATGGTGCAGGGTGAGCCATGTCCTGGCTGCCCGGGATGCAGAGCTCCCTTCACAGTCGCACCTGCCTGACTGCTCCGCTATCTCCTAGGATGCCTTTGCTAGAGGGGAAGTGTTTATTGGGAGCAAGGAAAACAGCTACAAGGTGCTGGAAGGGCTCCCGCCGTCCACGCAGGGAAACCACTGGCAGCACGGGATTACCATCGTCACGCCGGATCGGAAATTCCTCTTTGCCTGTGAGACAGAGGACGACCAGCTGGAGTGGATCACAACTTTTCAGAAAGTTATAAGCCGGCCGATGCTGCCTCAGGAATACGCAGGTGTGTTTGCTGGTGAGGGCAGTGCTTTCCGTGCGTTAGAGGACGGGATGGATGGAGGGGGATTGGGGATGAGGCATTGCTGCCTCCTGTGCAGTGTGAGTGGGGCAGCCCTTCCCCACCCAGGGAGGATGCCAAGGCTGTCTGAGCAGAGAGGGGCTCACACTGGGAGAAGGAGTAGAAGGAGGAGGGTATCTTTACCTCTTCATCACCTCTGGTGTGATGTCCATGGTGCTATAAGGATGATCGGTTACCCAGTTGCCAGGATAATCAGAGCCAAGAAGCATCAGCAAGGCAAGGACCATCCAGATCACAGCCTGATGGTGCTTGTCGTGCTTTTAATTTTATTTTCTGTTTTTTTTTTCTTTCAGTGGAAGCCCATTTCAAACATAAACCTTAGTTGGGACTTGGCTGAGCAGATCTGAGGAGTGAGCTTCTGTTTACAACACAACGTGGTTTTATTTGAAATGTTGAAAATAATGAATAATAATAATAACAGTAATAATAATAATAATACTTCCCTTTCCCCTCATTGTTCACTTGATCATGTCGGAATCCAAGAAGGACAGCAGTGAAACATTGGAGAAGATGCTGATCCAACTCGAAATCCAGCTCTGTGGCTGCTCCATGGGATGCACCACTAGGATGGGTCCTGTGACCCCATCACCCCATGCCCACAAAAAGGGTGGTGAAGACTCTTGGTGTCACATTTAGGGGAAGATGGGGCTTGACCTTGAGGACTGGAGCTGAGCATCCCTGCAGCCCTAGCTGTCCCCCAGCCCTTTCCCTGGGGGTGCTGTGGGTTCCTGAGCAGTGACATCCTCGTGGGACATGACGCACCAACCTGGAAATATCCAAAATGGTGCAGTGCGAAATGGCTGAGCCTCCCAACGGTGTCAGGGTAATGATAAGTAAATAACTTCACCCGGGGCAGCGGTGGTGGTGCTGAACCCAGGCTGGGTCCCCCAGCCCTGTGGCCCTGCAAGGG